GGACCAATGTTTCCTAGCTAAGCTACTAGGTGATCTGCTGACCTACTAGCACACAAGATGGGGTGAATATAAATAAAACCACCACTGTGTACTGTTCTATGCTGGTATATATATTTGTACTTGAACTTTGAACTACTTGGTCTTACAAATCCATTTTACCTTATAGTTTCATTGGTAACGAAACCATAGCTCGATTTTAATTGCGGCAACGCCATCTATCGAGCCATGAGACAACTTTTGAATAATAATATTTATTTTGACTTTAACAATAAGTTTGGTCTTGAACAAAGTATGTTAGATTATACAACTTTGTAGTCACTAGTACTCAATATGAAAACAATATTCTTAGCGAAACTTCCTACTCCAGAGCCTGTTCCGAGCGGTAGGCTATAGAAGATAGCGCACGCTTGGAAGTAGGTTCACCCATGACACTCACGAGAGAGCAGGTCCGGTGGGCGTGAGCGTTAAATACCTCGGTGTGACCATCGACCGCTCGCTTTCAATGACGCCTCACGTACAAGAGGCTGCTGCTCAGGAGCGCGCCGCGCGTCACCTCCTGCGCCCGGTGATCGACTCGGCGCTTCCTCTCCGTGCGAAGCTCGGCATCTACAAGGCCTAAATTCGGACACGGTTTACCTACGCCACCCCGGCATGGTACGCGCTCGTGTCCGAATTAACCCCGACGGCCTTGGCCTCCCAAGAGACCTGGTTACACCGACTGACCCAACGGACGCCGCGTGAGACTGCCACCCACCCGCCGGCGGGTCAGTAGAGTCTTCGCCCCCACCGGACATGACCGCGCGCTGCTAACAGCCCACCGCTTGCCGGGCTCCCCCCGGCTCGAGTGCGGCCCCTAGCGGCGCTCCCACTGGACACAACCATGCCCCGCCAACAGCTTGCTGCACGCCGGGCTTGCCCGGCTAGAGCGCGGCTCACGGCGGAGCAAAACCACCGGACTCGACATCGCATCGGGTTCCGCAAGGAGCCCAACTAATCCAACCCCTCGCTTGCTGTAGCAGGCAGCGAGCGCATCCGCCGAAACAGGCATCGCATCGGCCTGGATCGCGCGACTTCGCCCCCCCAGTCGAGGACGCAGAGAAGACCCGACGACGAAAGTAGGTTCACTCAATCTTCGGTTGGCAGCGGTTGAACATCGTTGACCGTTAAATCGTTAAATTAATCTTTAAACGTTGTATTCTTTTATTTAGTCGGTTCATTGTTATTTTTGCTACTTGATTTACATCTCTGCAGTAATTAGAGTTTGGTGCCATAATTTATAATTATTTTGTTTGTATTTATGATTAAATAATTTATGAGGTACATGTGCGGTATTTTTTTTTCAAAACTGTCGTCACTTCTCGTTTCTAAGAATATATTTTTTTAAGTTTTTTTAGTGGAGTTACTTGTGATTCTCGATAGAATAAATTGTCCCTCTAATTGTGCAAACCACAAAGCTGGCTCGTCCGGACAAAATGGAGGGCAGCGCAATGGCATCCCAACTGCCGCTGTATGTCCTGAGATGACGGGGACATCCTTGCAATCTGCATAAGCATCCGACTCAGTCATATTTAATTAAATTGAAAACGCTCACCGCTAGTCCAGTACCAACCACTCCACACTCTTGCTGTCTGGATCCTGGTCTTCGATCCTTTGTCCAAAACGTCGGGGGTCACCAATGTAGTGGGTAATTGCACATTAGTCCACTAACCGAGTTTGTAGTGCTTCTTGAGAGCGGACCGGGGATACACGCACAAGTCTGAGCCGGTGTCTACTAACTACGTCGTTGGCCGCTACAGTTGATAAGGCTTCGTTATAAACGATTAAACATTATCATAACAGTTGATTTATTTAATTACATCGACAATTTGTTTTAGTATACAACAACGTAAATAAAAACCTGCCGATGACAGGTTATTCCAGGTATTTTCTTATAGCTATTGCTGTTACATTGGTACGCACTTCACCAATTAATTAAGTTGAATAATAAAGATTTTCATATGAAATGAGATTGACACAGTTGTAAGTAAAAGCTTATCAATATGGCGGCACGGAAAAACTGGCTTAAAGTCAAAATTTTTCTATGTATGATGCTCCATACATAGAAACATTTTTAATACATTGAAAAATTTGCCTGTAGCCACACAGCAGTAGTTGGTGCTTAATAGAACAAGGACAAAGAATGATGGATGTCATATACGTATAACTAAGAATTATTATTCGCCCTGCTTGTCTACTATAAGTCTGTGGAGCCAACGTGACGTAACTCAAAAACTTGCCATTTCAAGTAACTACTAAACCCCATCTATCTGTTTCTGCATTCCGACAAATAGACGTAAAAATAGTATATTTTGTCAACGTTTTAGCAACGTAGTTAAAGCACGGAGATACCAATCTCTATAACTACGTTGTTTGAATAGTACAATACAAAATGTACTGTATGGTATGTCATTCATAGACTTTGAAGTCATTCATTATCTGTCATCTGTCTGTATCTGTCAATTTTGTTTGTCACGAATCACGATAAATGTTTTTCATGATAGACGTATGATGTGACGAAGAGAAATTTGGGATTTGGAAAAGTTGTGGCAAATGTGGACTTTTCCTTTACTTCCATATTTTATATTATTAATTTTATTCTAAAGACAAACTTCATACATTCTTTATAAGGTAAGGTACCGTCTAAATTTTCTAGCGGCAATAGAAGTTTACACATGTCGTTTGTTTATTTATTTTTTAACTAGTGAGCCGACCCGGTTTCGCGAAAGCTATCTTGGAAAAAGAAGACAGATTTTTACAATATCTGTGGGAATTTAAATGGAATCAGAGAGAGGCGTCAGACGAAAAGGGGCGCCGCAGACTGCGACATGCAGTGAGGTTACTATAAACTGTTGAAGAGTTTGAACGACTGTTTGTGACATCCATCATTAAAAAATCTTTATTTTTTTAGTATAATCCGTTAAACGAGCAGACGGATTACCTGATGGTAAGCAATCAGCATCGCCTATGGACACCTGGAACACAAATGGCGTTACAAGTGCGTTACCGGCCTTTTGGGGATTAGGAGTATGAGGATTATTGGGAATTCAGGGATTGGGGAGATTCAGGAAAGACAGGGGTAATTGGGCCTCCGGTATCTAGGGTTGCCAACCGTACTATAATATATAGTATTGTACTATATTTCGGGTCTGCATACCATATACTGTTGAAAAAATAGGCAGTATGTAAAAATACCATATTTTCAACACCGACAAACTAATCCATCATTTAAAAAAATATAAGAATGCACCTTTAAAGTAACTTTTAACTAAAGTTTTACCCGTAGTTCCTTTAAAGTAACTTTACTGACAAAACTGTAGGCCAAAAATGGCAGCATATTTTAAAAATTACTGAAAATGATTTGCCAAGATTATTTAAAGTATTTTCATTCCTGCTCTCTATACCCCCCACTTCAGCATTCACAGAAAGTATATTTTTGGTTATAAATTCAAAGTGGCGAGAAGAAAGAAACAGAAGTAATAGGTATATCAATAATAAAAATGAGCTTTTGATTTTTATATTAATTAAAAAATTGATTGTGACAAACAATATAACCTTTTATATTAAACAAATAACAGTTGCAGAGAGCATGAAGTGGAAAAAGTATAGTTTTTATAAAAATAAATATTTTTTTTCATTTTTGTGTATCCTATAATCTGTCAAACACCAAGCGGTCACCGGTGACCGCAACCTATTGTTCTTTAATTGTGTCTATAAAACCGGTACTCGACGAGTTAAAGTTTTTTTTTAAATGTACTAAAATTTTTTACACCTTATTTTAAAAATACTATATTTCACTGATGAAATGTTGTTTACACTACCGGTAACCTCACTCACACGACGAAACACAACGCCAGCGTTGCTTCACGACGGATTTCTGCGAGACCATGGTATCACTTCGGACGAGCCGGCCCATTCGTGACGAAGCATGGCTCTCCCACAAACAAAATTGAAAAAAATATTGTTGAAAAACATAAATGATGTATTACTCTTACCCTAGAATTGTCGAAAGTTCCTCGCGGTTTCCCTAGGATTGGATTCCATCATCAGATCCTGACCTGATGAAAATAGAACCCTCTCGGGAGCACAACATTTTAAACAAAACCAGAATATTAAAAATTGGAGCACTAATTGGTGATCAATTGATCATACATAAAATAAACAATCATTCGAACATATTACCTCCTCCTTTTTTTAAATACTCTAAAATAAGTAAGTAAGTAGTAAGTCAATAAATTACTAATTGGTATCTATGTAGTAGTTACGCTACTTAGCGATAGATAGCGCTGGGTGTTTTTAAATTGGGTAACATTGTGTTTTTAAGTATTTTTCGGTTTTAAATTGTTTCCTACCATTTTACATTAAATTGTGTATTTTATAGATGAACACGAAACCATAGCGTCAAGAATTATACTTATCAATTAACAAATAATTGTGCGCTGTTGTTTCAACGCTCGATAGATGACGTTAGTGAAGTGCTTTATTTCAAGTGAAGTCTTTTAAATTGAAATGGGTCGATGCTATTTGTAGTAATTCGAAAATAACTCCTGTCTGTTGTTCTTTCACGGCTAAACGGCTGAACGGATTTTGAAGATATTTGGTAAGCAGGTAGTTTGAGTTCTGGAAAAACAAGGCTTTACCGCGGCAGAATTTCTCATTCCCACAGAAAAATCTAAAAAGCGCGATATAAGCGAATTGCACGCGAGTGGAAAGCTATTTTTTCGTTTGTCTGTCCTAAACTGTCAAACACCGCGAGGACACCGGTGACCGCAACTCAAAGGGTTAAACGGCAAAACGGAGGTACTAATTAACGTGATTTTTTAACTGAAGGTAGTTGAAGGGATGGATAGTCACATAGGCAACTCTTTAATATATCTGTGCACGTAGGCTACCTTTTATCCTTTTGTGACGCAAGCGAAACTGCGGGTAAAAGCTAGTAAATAAATAATGTTATCCCAGGTATAATGCAGGAGAAACTCGCGTTAGCGGCGTTGTCGGCGGGTCCGGGGGCGGCGCGCATGCGCGCGTGGCGCCTGCACGCTTACGGCGCGGCGCGCGACCTGCAACTGGAGGCGGCACGCGTGCCGGCCCTGCGCGCGCCGAGCGACGTGCTGGTGCGCGTACGCGCCGCCTCGCTCAACCCCATCGACGTGGCCATGCTGGCGGGCTACGGCGCGCGCGCGCTCAACGTGCTGCGCGCGCTGGAGGGCGCGGCCGAAGGCGTGGAGTTCCCGCTGGTGCCGGGCCGCGACTTCGTGGGCCACGTGGAGCGCGCCGGGCCCGACAGTCGCCTGCGGCCCGGCCAGCGCGTCTGGGGCGTGCTGCCGCCGCACCGACAGGGCTGCCACGCTGACTTCGTCGTCGTTAAAGATGAATGGGTATGCTTTAGGTTTAACTAATACGCAGTTATTATGTAACTAGATATGTAGTTATTTAATACCCCTGCTTGTGACCTATTGTCGATTTACGAAGCGAACCACCTCAAGAAATCGCCGCTGATGCCTGTGTCAATAAGCTTCTGTAACACTAACAGAGTATGGTGGTCGGTCAATTGCTTTGCTGTAATCTGTATAAACCACATCAATCAGGCAAGCAGGTTGATTGATGTGTATAGCATAGCATCTGTGACAGCTGACAGAGTCATTAAAAAGAATTAGTTTGGTTAGTAATAGTAGACTTCCCTCTCAAAAATCTGACAACTGTTGGAACCTTGCCGATCACCTGCGTCCATTTGATCGTTGACTTCAGAGACACCCTGTATAACATTTTTATCGCGGTATATTGAGAATGGTAACATTTTTATGGCAGGCAGGGCCTGCACCGGCTGCGCTGAGCGACGCCGAGGCCGCGGGCGCCCTGTACGCCGCGCTCACCGCATGCGCCGCGCTGCGGGCCGCTGGGCTGGGGGCCGCGGGGCCGGGGGCCGCGGGCCGCGCGCCGCGCGTCTTACTGCTGGGGCTGGGCGGCGTGGGGCAGGCAGCGCTGCAGTTGCTGGTGGCGCGCGGCGCGCACGTACTGGTGGGCGCCGCCGCCGACGTGGCGCCGCTGGCCACGCGACTGGGCGCCGCCGGCCTCTTGGATCGGCACGCGGCCGACTACGAGCGCCAGCTGGAGGAGGCGGGCCCGTACGACGCGGTGCTTGACTGCGCCGGGCTTGGCGGCGAGGAGGCGACGGCGCGGCGCTGGCGGTTCTCGCGCTACGTGACGCTAACGTCGCCACTGCTGCGGTCGATGGAGGCGCGCGGCGTGGCAGCGGGCGCGGCGTGCGCGGCGGCGACGTTACTGGCGCAGAACGCGCGCGCCGCCACGTCGCCGGCGCCCGGCCCGCAGCCCGGCCCGCAGCCCAGTTCGCTACCGCCGCAGGTGCGCTGGGCGTTCTTTTCTCCTTCTGCAACAGACATCGAACAGCTACGCCGACTCACGGAGCGCGGCCAGGTATGTGTGGAGTGAGGCGTGGTGCGAGTGCGCGGCGTGATGTGTGGACAGTGTGGAGTGAGGCGTGGTGCGAGTGCGCGGCGTGATGTGTGGACAGTGTGGAGTGAGGCGTGGTGCGAGTGCGCGGCGTGATGTGTGGACAGTGCGGAGTGAGGCGTGGTGCGAGTGCGCGGCGTGATGTGTGGACAGTGTGGAGTGAGGCGTGGTGCGAGTGCGCGGCGTGATGTGTGGACAGTGTGGAGTGAGGCGTGGTGCGAGTGCGCGGCGTGATGTGTGGACAGTGTGGAGTGAGGCGTGGTGCGAGTGTGCGGCGTGATGTGTGGACAGTGCGGAGTGAGGCGTGGTGCGAGTGCGCGGCGTGATGTGTGGACAGTGCGGAGTGAGGCGTGGTGCGAGTGCGCGGCGTGATGTGTGGACAGTGTGGAGTGAGGCGTGGTGCGAGTGCGCGGCGTGATGTGTGGACAGTGCGGAGTGAGGCGTGGTGCGAGTGCGCGGCGTGATGTGTGGACAGTGCGGAGTGAGGCGTGGTGCGAGTGCGCGGCGTGATGTGTGGACAGTGCGGAGTGAGGCGTGGTGCGAGTGCGCGGCGTGATGTGTGGACAGTGCGGAGTGAGGCGTGGTGCGAGTGCGCGGCGTGATGTGTGGACAGTGCGGAGTGAGGCGTGGTGCGAGTGCGCGGCGTGATGTGTGGACGTGTTTCAGTTCGGCGTGTGCGTGGAGCGCGTGTTCCCGTGGTGGGAGGGGGCGGAGGCCTACGAGCGGGCGCAGCGCGGTGCAGCGCGCGGCAAGTTGGTGCTGGACTTTACGGCGGAGGCCGAGGGGGGCAGTCAGCCCGCCACAGATTCCTAACGACGCGACGTCCGATGTGTTAGGGCACGTACAGATGACACGCGCGTGGCTGACTCGTAATATGTATCTGAACGTATCCTTGGTAAATGAGGAATGTTGCAGTATACAGGTTGTCCCAGAAATAGTGAATCAAACTGCTATGGGAGGTAGCTTGACTAATGTCCTATCCATAAAAAAAAAAGAATATCGGAGAAACGGGAAAATCATCGAATTGTCCTAAGTTTCCAGCTCTAATTATTTCGTTTTGGGTTTATTTGCACATTTTTTCTGCCAATTTTAATTGTTGGAGTTCGCTCCAAGTGATTGCTAACATTTTCACAGATAACAGTTAACAGTGCAAAATAATGTCTACTATTGGAGTTTTTTTTTTAAGGGGGAAAATCATCGAATGACTGCTCCCGCCTGGGTGAGGCAGAAGGGAGTGTCAGACTCTTACTGACTAAAAACCACCCCGTTCCTTCTCCTGCACGTCGAGCCGGAGCCCCGGTTACCCGTTAGGTTCTCCGCGACTCCGAATCGGCATCGGCCCTAGTGGGTCCCATCTGTGGTGGTCTGATGGCTCTTTGAGGCGCGCGCGGAACGCGACGAGCCGTACGGTCTGTTTCTGGTCGGACGGGGAGCCACCCATGCTTGCCGTCCGCAGGCCCGCGCTTACAGTGGCCGGAGATCGTCTCGCGATCCCCGACGCCCGGTGTGTCCTTCGCGATGGCTGGGTTGCGAGGAGGCAGCGCTTCGCTGCCTCACGCGTCCCGCCTCCTCCTTAGCTAGCATGACTGCTTCGCAATAGGAGGAGACGGCATCCCAGTCCCCCTCGCTCCGCATCATGGCCTGCACAAGGCCCGGACGCGAGAGGTCGCCATCGCCGATCACTTCCCTGAGGGCACGGCGGTGCTCAGTCCACGCAGGGCATTCCGCTACAGTGTGTTCCACCGTGTCCTCAGGGCGGTCTTCGCTGTGATGACACCCGGGCGTTTCCTCCCGCCCCATCAGACACAGGTACCTCCCGAAACTTCCATGTCCGGTGAGGACCTGCGTCAGGCGGTAGGTGAGGACGCCGTAGCGTCTCTCAAGCCACTCCTCAAAGAAGGGTCTTACCGCTGCAATGGCAGCGAACCCAGCCCCCGGTTGCGACAGTCGTTGCTGCGATTCCGCCATGAGATCGCGCCGGAGCTCATCCCGCCACGCACTTATCTGGCGCGGCAGCGGAGTGTCGCCCCGGCGACGTGCGTCCGCGCGCATGCGATACACGCGCGCGAGCACCTTCGCCTCCAGATCCCACGGCGGTAATCCGGCAAGGAGGTTCGCCGACTCCCCGGAGATCGTGCGGTATCCGCAGATCATTCGGATGGCCATGACCCTCTGTGACATGAGCAGCGTCCGAGCGGGCCGCCGCAGCATGTTCGACGCCCACACAGGGGCGCCGTAGCTACTATTGGAGTACAGACCACTTAACTAATGTGATTTTTTTTACCGAAAAATGTTCTTGCTATTTTATTCAGCTATGGTATAAAAAAAATGTATGGGACTTGTTCGGCTTCAAAAAGTTGCCTGTTTATTGAGGATTCTAAAATAATACGAATCAGTGAATTCACTTCACAAGATTTGGAGATATAAAGTTTTTTGTGTGCAAGGGTGAAATTGGTTAAATTTATTATTTATTTTTTAATTCACTTTTCACTTCTTTGCTTCTAAGGTTAGAATCGACTTAAAAAGTTATTTCAATGCCCGGTAGACTCAACAAAACTTGCTATCTCTCTAAAGAGTGCCTAAAATGATTTGCGTTTTTTCCTAGAATTTGACAAATGCGCCAGCGCTGGCAACACTACCTGTGGTGCCAAGTGGTCTGTAATCCAATAGTAGACATTATTTTTTGAAAAATGTTAGCAATCACTTGGAGCGAACTCCAACAATTAAAATTGGGAGAAAAAATGTGCAAATAAACCCAAAACGAAATAATTAGAGCTGGAAACTTAGGACAATTCGATGATTTTCCCGTTTCTCCGATATTCTTTTTTTTTATGGATAGGACATTAGTCAAGTTACCTCCCATAGCAGTTTGATTCACTATTTCTGGGACACCCTGTATATTACAATTAGGATTACAGTTTTCTGTAGTAGATATTGTAGGTAGGTAGTAGGAATATAAATAGGCACATGATGTGTACTGTAGTATATTAAATAAATGATCTATGTATAAAGTTTAATTGTCTTTATTTATAAAAACTGCCAGACTTGAACACGAGTTCCTACTGACCTTAATGCCACAAAGGAGGTGAAGTACCTACAATTCGGGTATTTTTTCTTCTTCTTGTACTATATGTCACAATCACAAAATACATTAAAATAGCCCCCAAAACATTACAGATTAAAATCAAACATCAAGCTGTAAGTTAGTTTGTGTGTTATTGTTGATTATCTGGCAAACTATCTGCCGACAGAAGGGGTCTGGCAGTTTCAGTTTCTTTAAAATATTCCCTACTACATTTATAAAAATGTAGCAAGCAAGTAACAGATGTTGACGTTAGCAGATATGTATACGTCCACTGTAAAAACTAATACTAACCTATCATATATGTTTTGTCCATCAGAAAATAAGTAAGGTCTTCAGCGGCTTTCGGTAGCAGTATAATAAGACAGCAGAAAACAAAATAAAAACTACCTGGAATATAATAAGTTACGAGAGAGCTAGAAATAAATCACGCAATGCTGAATCTATATGTATATATATTTATATTCCATTCTTGAGTCCGACTTTCTTATATCTATATGTATATATATTTATATACATATAGATATAAGACTATTTATATACATATAGAATATTTATATACATATAGATATATATTTATATACATATAGATATAAGAAAGTCGTGTTAGTTACACTATTTATAACTCAAGAATGGCTAAATCGATTTGGATGAAAATTGGTGGGGAGGTAGCTTAGAACCAGGAGACGGACATAGGATACTTTTTACCCAATTCTTTTTTTTTACTTTTTACCGAAAATCAAGAACGGGTACGGGAAATATCGGGATTGCGCGTACGAAGTCGCGGGCACAAGCTAGTTTAATCTAAATACTGAGAATGGGCGCATCAATACAAATTTGAAAGGAGCCCAGGAATGCGAATTTAAAAAAAAAATAATTATATGTGGGAACATCGCTAAATCTATTGAAATCATACCTGTAAATGTACAAAGTAAATTTACAGCATAGCTATGGGCCGATTCGGAGTCGCGGGGAACCTAACGGGTTTTCGAGGCTCTGGCTCGAAGTGCACGAGTAGGAACGGGGTGGTTTTTAGTTAGTAAGAGTCTGATACTCCCACCCGCCTCACTCAGACGGGAGAAGTCATTTGATGATATTTTCCCCTTAAAAAAGTGAGTGTACCGCAGGGCTCAATATTAGGTCCTTGTACGGTCTTCAACTGTACATGCTTTTTGATGACACGGCAGTCGGTACGACTGCGCGTCATTTTTACCTAATTATTATACGCTACAATACACGCTTGCTACACACACGGACCAGTGTGCATTTTACAACGATAACACAAACTACTTAAGAGAAAGGAATAGTCAATATCGACGAACTAGTGTAACTATCAGTAATACAACTTTACTTCTTCAACTACAACTTCGTGTTCTTTTCTCTTCACACTCCAACAATTAACTACAATCAGCAAGTGTACGAACCGTACAGTCCTATTTTTTATATAATATAAAAGATTTGCCCCATTTAATTCAGAATGAACCGCAGATGGTACTTTTCATTAGTTTTTAAAATAAATAGACGAACAAATAATTACGGCGACGTAAATATTGCCATAATGAACATTCAAAATTGGTTTAGCTATAACTTAGTGCTAAACGATAAAAATACAAAATGTGTTAGATTTGTCATCCAGGGAGCATATCGCGCAGGTGTACTCTAACTAAAGTTAGCAGAACTTAATGATCTATAATGAGAGACAAATGATTTTAAAAGTATAGCAACCATAAAATATACCAACCATTCTGTACAATGCTTTATAGTTAGGAGCCAATTAGAAAAAAGTGCTATTATCTGAAACCCCCACGAGAAGATGCAAAACAAGTTTACCCGGTACCTGTACCTAAAGCAATATGGAGTGTACCCGTATCACCCACTCGTGTATCCCTCTCTATTGGTTATCGGTATAATGGGAATTATCCCACCACTATATTAATAAGCTGCACTCGTAAAGTACGTGTTGGAGGTTTCCGGGGTAAACAGAACAATCCATCCATACTGGTTTCGTTGAGGTTGCTGGTACCAAACAATTGCTAAGGGTGAGCATGACGCAGAGACTATTTGAAGTTCCCACCACTCGCACTGACATAGGTCAATATGCTCCTGTCACTAAATATATTCGAATTTATTTATTTACCTACCTGAAACCTTACCTAAACTCATTATAGTTATGTACATTGCGATAGTTTAGGCGTAAAACTAAATCTAAGTACCTACTTATTAAGTTAAAACTAGACATAACGAAATCAAAATAACAGCGTCAGACAAAATTCAGATATTTTAACTCTGCAAGCGAGCTTGCAGAGTTCATACAGGTAACGACTGATGTTAGTTCTACTTGATGTGTTATAACAATGTTCATTATAAGTTTTTATATTGAGTGACAATATTATCGCATTGGGTGTAACCTGTTAGGATGCGTGGATTTAAATAAATAAAAGTCACTAGCTAGTACGCTCAAGCCCTAACACAAATAAAAAATAAAAACGATCGTATCATCTGTGCACACGCTATTTGATATTTGTAAGTAAGACGGCGCGACAGCCGCACCAACTCTACCGCTCCGTGTCCATCAATGCGGTCGATGCTAGAAGCTAGTAAGATCAACTGCAATTTGTTGTTTTAATGCTAACGTAGGTAAGTTCTAGGTTGATAGCAATTGCCAATTGCTAATTCAACCTTGAGCATTGCTATTAGATTGCCTACCTATGTCTTTCAGCTGTGGTGCAAA